CTCCCACCGCCCCCCTACCACCCAAAACAAGTTCACCGCCCCTCAGCATCCTCCCACCGCCCCCCGGGGAGTGGTACTGCCCCCGTTGAGAACCAATGCTTTAAAGAATAGTAGAGAAGTTCTTCTCTGGCATCAGATTGGAAGTGCTTCAAATTCATTTTCAAAACATGGATAGCACTATGATTTTCATTCTGTGGGTTTATATTCCATTAATGAAGACACAAAGGTATCATTAATGGGATGTAAAATACTGTAAAGATCCATCAAACACCAACAATATCCTTGTTGTTTGATCTAGAAGGACTAGATCTAATTTCCTTAGGTAGGAGTGGCAAAACTGTAGCATGTCAGATATTGCTGAACAACTTTACCTATGGTGGCTGGGAATTTAGTAACATTTGAAAGCCAGAAGTTTCTCTGGATTTCAGTTATAGAAGGATAGATTTCAGCTGAATAGTAGGAGAAACATTTTGATAGTAAATAACAATTCAATAATTGAACTAATTACATGGGAGGTGGGAACTGTACTTGTGCATTTGCAAAAGCTCTTGTTTTCTAATTCCTGTATCAAGTGGGAGGTTGGTCTCAAGTCTTTTCCTCCTTCAGTTCTACAACTCCTTTTCTTCAATTCCAGACAGCATTCCCTGAACAAAATATAATTGTTTTCCAATTCCAGGTTGAGGCAGGAATTTGTTTCAACACCAATATAACAGTTTTTGAACCTTACTAATTTGGAACCAAGATACAAAAGAACAGTCACTGTATTTCTAACTTTAAGGGCTTAAAACAGATATGGAATGGAAAATCTAATCAATTCTTTTTTTAAATGTGAAAGCTGTCATTTGATTGGAAAAAATTAAGCAATCATTTGCTAAATCAAAACTTAGCCCATCTGGTTGGAATATTCTGTTCCCCAAAGCCCATATGGCCCCCACACTCCTATCTTTTTACAGAACAACAAAGATCTGGCTCTTGGAGATTAAGACTCAGAGTATGACTTGTTTTAATCCTCATACATAGTTTTGTCATCTCTTATATTTCTATTATCATTGTTATTTTGTGAATTTTGGTTGGGATGTTAACCATCCCATAGTTTCTGGAGCTAGGTGGTATATAAATGTTAGTTAATAAATAAATAAAACACATTTATTTAATCTCAGTACTTTATATTTGTTTGTTCGTTTGTTGAGGATTCTCACAATCTACATAAGATACTGGCAGGGAATATATAAGGTCTATATAACTCATTTTCATAGAGTATTTACCAGTGGGGTAGCCTTTTAGCTTAATTGTGCTAAAGGAAGAATTCAAGCCAGACTGAAAAGTTCTATCATAATCTAGAAGCAGATCTTTACCACATTTGGTAGGTCTACCTATTGCACAACAGCTCACAATGAGTAGGCAGGAACCTTTAAGTTCTGATGTAAATTAGTGACACACTTTGGTACCCAAAGGTCTCCATATAGTCAAACGTAGATTGGATACATAATTATACTACCATCTTCCATATGAAGCAAAACTCTGAAATCACGTGTATATAGGGATATTCCTGCAAATTGTAATATGCTTCTTATTCCCACTTTGGGGAAGAATTAACTGGCCCTCCAGAAATTCTACAGATCTCTAGTATCTGAGATTAGATCTATGGCTGCATATTTAAAAGTCATGTTTAATATATCACAAGAAAAAAAGCACATTTATTTCTAACCAAGATTTATTTAGTCATGATTATAGAAATCCATTATTGATAAAAGTGCTAGTTCTCAGCATTTGAGTTTCACCAGCCCAATTAACCTACATATTGCCAAGTTCAACTCTAAAGAGCTGCATGAACTTTGGGTGACCACAGTGAGAAGTTTTCTCAACTTAATATGATGGGTTGATTCAGATTCATATCACAATTCCTGAAGGCGGGGTGGTAGTTGTGGTGGTACATCTTGGTGACAAAATATATTCTTTGCATGGGCAAAGGCCCAGATTCTGTAACCTCTTTCTAAAATGGTCAAGCATCTCTTCTTAAAATGACATACTGTTAGCTGTGCATGAAATTCTAGAGAACTCATCCCAATCTAAGGATGCAGCACTGGGCTACAGACAAGACAGTTGAAACAAAGTCGTTTCCTATCGTTTTCCTGATATAATAAAATATTTATGATATTGCATAGAAAATATGTTGACAAATTAGATATCTAGTCCAGTACTACAGCTTTGATATCCCAAATGAAAGAAAAGTACCTGGTCTAGATGCTTTTGTGCAGATTCGTCCATTCCCATATAGACCTGTTGGACATCGGCCACAGAAGTATCCAGTCTTTGGCGGTTTGCGGTCAACACACAGTACTCCAGGAAAACAAGGTCTATTAGCACAGTTAGTAAGAGGTGATAGAACTCCTGCATGACCTAAAAGAATATCCAATAACCATTGCTGATATTTATTCATTATAAAAAATTAACTTAAAAATAAACCAGGCAGGAAATATAAGCATTGGCTAAGGCTTTCTTATACTTTTATTCTTTCAAAATATAATTAATGTTAGGTGTCCCCAAACTGTGTGCTAAGCATAAGGGTTTCTTATTAAGGCAAGATTTATTAGCCCTCTAATTACATGTTTTAAAGTTCAGTATTGAGAGGTGTGTGGCATTTATCAGGGGTGAAACTGATTTTTTTCTTCACTGCTAGGATTATCTAAGTGGAGAAGCTGCTTTAGTCAGGGGCAAACTACACATTTCTCTGCAGGGTTGTATAATGAAGTCCCAGAGGTTCCTTCTCCTTTGTGAGACATCTACTGGAAAGGTTGTTTTGAAATAGAGAAGAAAGAGTGGAAGAAGGCATGCTAACTCAACCCCTTCTTGCCTGATGCTTCCATTTTTAAAATCCCTCACTCTGCTTTTACTTTACAATATGGCCCTGGAATCACCTGGAAGCAAACCATATTGAGGAACAGAGCACACAGTGCATTAAGCCATATGATTTGCTTAACTTTTGCTTTATATGTGTTTGAACCCTGGCTTTGTGGTGTATAAATAAGGTGTATGGCTTAGTGTCATGCAAAACTATCCAAATGTGATTTATTAATTAAACCAAAGTTAAGCAAACCATGACCTAGAAATTGTGTGGATCCAACCAGTGATTCAGAGGGAAAAGGATTGTCAGGATGAAGTAATATTTCTTTTCCCTCTTTTCCCATTTCAATAGGAATTCATTGGGGCTTTATTACATGAAGATAATTACTGGGTTCATACACTTATTCAATTATGAATAAGCCCACAACTGACCGGATTCATATATCATGCTAAACCATAAAATAGCTTACAAACATAACTATCAGGCTCACACAATACACTATAAAAAAGCAAGTAAGTCACACAATTGCTTAGTGTGATGTGCAAAACCAGCCAGCATAACATGTATATTGTCTCAGATGCGACGGTTTTCAAACAGACCACTTTCTGGGAAGTAAAAATGGGAAAGAGGTATTGCTCTGCTTGAAGGTTTTCCAAAGATTTTCTGTTGTTCATAGTCAGAAACAAGACGCTGTACCAGGTGACTTTGGATTAACTCAGTAGAAAACTACTTATGACTCCAGAAAAGAAAGAAAGGGTATGACATGCTTCCAAAGCAAAGGCTAAGGCAAAAACCCAAACCACTGACCATGGAGTCTAGTACAAAATCTTTCTCTTTTTTCCAAATCAAATTCCATACAGCATATTTTATATTTCTTTAGTTAGTAGTTAAAGTAAATCTAACCAGGTAGGCATATGCCAAATGGAGCTGAGCCAGTTAGGAATCTGCTCATTGGACAGCATCAACACTCCATCTTCTCAAGGAACTCTTTAAGAATCATGGCCACAACTGAGACTCTGGGAAAGAAATAGTGAACTGAAGACGACTGCACTAAAAGCACAGCTGACAACTGTGGAAAAATGAAGAGACTGGCTCTTCATAATTCGTCTCTGGACAAAGAGAGGTCTTGAAATTGCCCACAAGTGCTCCATACAGTTGCTCCTCATGAGGAGACTGCAAGACAGTGGTCTCCAGCAGGTTTACAGCTTTGGGAGATGAGGGAATAACTATCTCGCTGAAACCACTGTAGGTGTCTTCAAAAAGGACACCGGGTTCACATACTTCCTTTTCTAATCACTTTCAGAAATTGCTTGTTAACTGCTTTTCTGCACTTAGGAACCTTTGGATCAATAAGTTTTATAGCACTGGGGGAGTTTCCTTCAATCCTTGGCAAAAAAAGTTTTCAATACAAGTTTAAGAACTTAAAAAAAATCTTTTGGGAAGGGAATAAGTAGCAAAGGGGTGATTAGAACTTTGATTTTGGAAAGTTTCAGACAAACTAAGGGTCCAGATGGATTTAAAATAAGATTTTGGAATTAATTATAAAGAATCCTTCCCATAGGAAAATGCTTTTGTTTTGAACTTTCTTTAAAAAAAATGATAGCATGAGACTTTGAAGGTTGGACACTAGAAGGAACCAGAAGGAACTAAAGATTACAATTAAAGAAGAAGAACATTTAAATTTAACTAATATAGAATAAAGCAAAATATTTTAACATTGGTCATATTGAAGGATATTTTTGAACAATGGACTCAGAAGTTAATTTTAAGAGTGCCTGACTCTATAGATAGACTGTGTTTAAAAGATGTTATAAGAATGATATGGAAAAACATGCTACACTGGAAATACAAAAGAATCTGGCTGATGTCTTAATAATTAAAAGGGATATATAAATAACAAGCCAAGAGTGACCTGGATAATTTTCCTATATTGGATTTACAAAAGAGGCTTGTTAAAGTTTTGAAGAATTTTGTGACAAGAGACAAAGAAAAAATGAAAAGAAATCAAGTTTTAGGACATTATTTGAAGGGATTAAAGATCAAGATTGTTAAAAGTAATAGGAAGGAATGTAAAGTTGGTTTATTTGATCAAGGTTAAAATAGATATATCCGGCAACCCTTAATGGACTTTTGCTGATCAGGACTGAAATGATGAAGCTTTATTTCTTTATAGATAAGAGATGGGATATGGGAAGAAGAGGTTGTTTTATTTTAAGAGAAGGTGATAAGTTACTAAAATTGTTTATACTTGTGATGAAGGGG